CCAAATAACCATCCAACCAACCAACCTACAAACCATCCAACCAGCCATCCAACTAATCAATCAACCAAACTACCAACCAACCAACCAGTCATCAAACCAACCAATCAACCAAACTACCAACCATCCAACCATTCATCCAACCAGCCAATCAATCATCCAGCCATTCAACCAACCAATCAACTAACCATCCAACCAACCATCCAACCAATCATCCAACCAACCAATCAACCATCCAGCCATTCAACCAACCAATCAACTAACCATCCAACCAACCATCCAACCAATCATCCAACCAACCAATCAACCATCCAGCCATTCAACCAACCAATCAACTAACCATCCAACCAACCATCCAACTAATCATCCAACCAACCAATCAACCATCCAGCCATTCAACCAACCAATCAACTAACCATCCAACCATTCAACCAACCAATCAAATCGCAGAAAACGCTCTCGATCGCCGAGTAACCTACTACTACGCCACAGTCGGCAGCACTACCCGAACGAACTTGACTCGCTCTACACACAGAACAGCAACAACAACATCATGAACAGCAACAGCAACATGCTCGATTCAACAACTACATTCATCAAGAAGCAGCCCGTCTCGGCAGTCCTGACAGCAACGACACTAGCCACAGCAACCACATCGACTACGCTACTGACAACGACAACAGCAACGGCCGCAGCTACTAAATTCAACAACAAAAGAAGCAAAGTGGGAACATATAATTCTAAAGACTACGAATATGTCTGGGAGACGATTAACAAGAAGAATGTTGATAATAATGATGACGACCCGGTTGGTGTTGCGAAGCTGAAGTCATCAACGACACCACAACTACCAACGAAACAGTTCAACAACAACAACAACAAATGTCAATGTTGTTTAAACGCGAATAGGAAGCAACTATTTAACAGTAACAACAACAACAACAACAGCAGTAGCGTTATAGCGCCGTCCTCGCTAAAACACTCAACACAACAACAACAGCAAAACTTCATGACGTCAACAACACTTCAAAACAACTACAACAACAACATTCAACAACAGCAACAGCAGCAGCAACAGCAACAACAACATGTTTCTCTTACAACATCTCTTCCCAATAAAACAAAAACCTGCCAAAATTGCGGTCACCTAATCGAAGATTTTGTCAACATTAGCGAATCAACGCCAACATTGTTTCTACAACAAACTCCACAACAACAACATCAACAACTACTACATCAGCAGCAACAGCAAAATCTCCAACAATTCGATCTCACAGACCCGGCGCCGATTTTGCCAAAAAAATTTGTTGCGCCCGGATCAGAAACTTTAGTTAGAAAACAACAACAACCGCAACAACAACATCCGCAACAACAACAACATTTGCAGCAACAACAACATCCGCAACAACAACTATGGCAACAGTTTCAGCAACATCAAAAACAGCATCAACATCAACAAAAAAAATCGCGTGATAGTGCCATGCCTTCAGACCAGCGCAGCAACAAAATGACATCAAATAGAAACAACATCAACAACAACAACAACAACATCAACAACAACGACGACAACAACAACAACAATATGCACTGCAACGACAACCCACCAGCCTTATATCCCAGAAAGTTCAGGAAACTCTGAAATGTGAAAAAAATATTCATTCATTCATTCATTTATTCATTCATTCATTCATTTATTCATTCGCTTGTTCGTTTGTTCGTTCGTTCGTTCATAATTTCGTTCGTTCGTTTGTACGTACGTTTACTCGTTTTATTTATTCATTTGTGTGTTCGTTTGTTCGTTCATTCATTTTTTTTATTTATTCATTCGTTCATTCATCAGCTAAGTTATTCATTTTTTCATTCTTTAATTTC